TCAGGAGACAAAACTCCATGTGCTGATAGATAATCACTTGCTTGATTTGTTTCAAAAAGGCCAGTGTGTTTTGGCTACTAACAGAGTTGGTCTTTTTCAAGGACTATACAAAAAATGACAGTTATAAATCGACCTAATATCTTCACAAACAAGGACAATACAAAATAAGTTATAATCTCTAGAAACATTACATAATTACTATATACATTGCATACCATTACACTGAAATGTCTGGAGTTGTATAATACACTCATCAAAGAAGTGTACTCCTAAGCAAAGAGAATTTGAGACTTTCATCCACGGACTCAAATAGTTAGGAGAGAAAAGGATGAACCAATGGTTTATATGAACCGTTAAAATTAACGGTTCATATAAACCGTTAAGATCTTAAGATCTAAATATAAAGTAAAGTAAGTAAAGGATTTAATCACACCTTATTATCTCTTTCCTCCCATTTGTTGTTTCTTCTACTACTTAAACATAGCTTGTTAAGTGCCTTGAGGCAAAGATCTGTTTGGGTAGGTTTCAACTTGTCTATCCTTTTGATATTCTATTAGCCTGGATATACTGTGATGGTGAAATTACAGTAATTAATCATAATACCGTGCACTGGCATCTCCAAAATAAATTAATTCAGAATATTGATGCCAAGACTTTTCCGAATCTTTCTTGAAGGGAAAGTCCCAGATTTAGTAATTTTCCATTCCAAAAAGGCAGAAGTGACTTCCATTTAGTCATTTTTGTTGTTTCCAGTATTTTGTTTGAACTCATCATACCAGATGACTACAACTCTTCCCACTCCTACCTTCTTGGGACTACAAAAGGAAATGAAAACATCCTGATGCCATCATGTGCTGCTGGAATAGTAGGTCTTTCATAGCTGATGGCAGTAAACGGTTTTGGAGAGCTAATGAGGAGAACGGGGTGAGCAAAATGAAATTCCCCTATGATTAACACAAATTAGTTACTCCTTCTTACCTTCCAAACATAACTAACCATGTATTTAGAAAAGAGAGGGTGGAATTATAATTCAGTTGATTGATCATTAAGGCCGCTACTGCTCCATCATACTTAGATCCAGAAGAAGATGAAAAGCTGTCTTTCTGTCTCAACTATTATTGCCCTGGCCTTGGAGAGAGAGAAGAAGAAGCAATGCCAGGAAGCAGATGAAAGGCTCTTCCTTCATAGAATTATAGAGTTGGAAGAGACCCCATGGGCCATCCAGTCCAACCCCCTGCCAAGAAGCAGGAAATTGCATTCAAAGCACCCCCAACAGATGGCCATCCAGCCTCTGTTTAAAAGCCTCCAAAGAAGGAGCCTCCACCACACTCCGGGGCAGAGAGTTCCACTGCTGAACGGCTCTCACAGTCAGGAAGTTCTTCCTCATGTTCAGATGGAATCTTCTTTCTTGTAGTTTGAAGCCATTGTTCCGCGTCCTAGTCTCCAGGGCAGCAGAAAACAAGCTTGCTCCCTCCTCCCTATGACTTCCCCTCACATATTTATACATGGCCCTCATCATGTGGCTCTCAGTCTTCTCTTCTTCAGGCTAAACATGCCCAGCTCCTTAAGCCGCTCCTCATAGGGCTTGTTCTCCAGACCCTTGATCATTTTAGTCGCACTCCTCTGGACACATTCCAGCTTGTCAATATCTCTCTTGAATTGTGGTGCCCAGAATTGGACACAATATTCCAGGTGTGGTCTAACCAAGGCAGAATAGAGGGTAGTATGACTTCCCTGGATCTAGACACTATGCTCCTATTGATGCAGGTCAAAATCCCATTGGCTTTTTTTGCTGCTGCATGACATTGTTGGCTCATGTTTAACTTGTTGTCCACAAGGACTCCAAGATCTTTTTCACACGTATTGCTGTTGAGCCAGGCATTGTCCCCCATTCTGTATCTTTGAATTTCATTTTTTCTGCTGAAGTAGAATATCTTGCATTTGTCCCTGTTGAACTTCATTTTGTTAGTTTTGGCCCATTTTTCTAATCTGTTCATTTTGAATTCTGCTCCTGTCTTCTGGAGTATTGGCTATCCCTCCCAATTTGGTCCTGTCTGCGAACTTGATGATCATTTATTTATTTATTTATTTATTTATTTACCTTACTTATATACCGCTGTTCTCAGCCCGAAGGCGACTCACAGCGGTTCACAACAAATACGAACAGCAAAAATTCAGTGCTACAGTATAAAAACAGTTAACAACCTAACACATTACACAATTAATAAACAGTTACTACAATAGCCATTCGCTAGCGTCTCATCACTAAAAACATGATCCAGATCCGTCATCCATTGTTCCATTCCTATGTTCATTACATTCATTGCACTGACTATTCGACCGCCTGCTCAAACAACCAGGTTTTCACTTTTTTGCGGAATACCATTAAAGATGGAGCTAGTCTAATGTCCATGGGAAGGGCATTCCACAGCTGAGGAGCCACCACCGAGAAGGCCCTATCTCTCGTCCCCGCCAGCCGTGATTGAGAAGCAGGCGGGATCGAGAGCAGGGCCTCCCCGGAAGATCTCAAAGTCCTGGTGGGTTCATAGGCAGAGATGTGGTCGGATAGGTAGCTTGGGCCGGAACCGCCCATCAACCACTGTCCTGGCCTCAGAGGGAGAAAAAAAGAGGCAGGCACAGTTGCATCATGCATAACCCAGAAGATGAAAGACCCTCCCTGCATCCCAACTGCCACTGACCAAGCCTCAGAGGGAGAGAAGCATAGTTCCATCATGCCTGGGCTCAGAAGTGCATGAAAGGCCCTCCCTTCATCCCAACTACCACTGCGTTGACCTTGGAGGGAAAGAGGAAGAAGAAGGAGACACAGTCCCATCATGCCTTAGCCAAGAAGCAACTGCCACTGCCTCGCTTCAGCGGGATTGAAGAAGAAGCAGCCACAATTTTAAAGGAACTGTCTAAAGTGCTGAACTCCCTCTCAACAAAATTGGGTTGTCACTATGACAAATAAAACTGCTGCTACTTGGTCAAGGCCATTGAAGGCATCGTCCTCAATGGGTTGTTTTAAAGCACTATGGATTTAGTTGCTTTTCTAGAAAAAATCCCAAGAGTGCTGATATGTCTGCAAGCATCCTGCCCACGCCAGCTGTGCAAGTTAAACCAGATCCCAATATCCTTTATAGTACAGATACACAGCAGTTTAAGCCAAGTGCTCAGGGAGAACTTTGCTCCTCCAGATGTTTTGGACTTCAGCTCCCACAATTCCTAACAGCTGGTAAGCTGGATGAGATTTCTGGGGGCTGAAGTTCAAAACACTGGAAGCAGCACAGTTTGAGAAACACTACATTAGTGAATAAAATGGTTTTTGAACTAGACAGCTTCAGAATAATTTGTCTGAAAAATACCAATATCAAAAATCTGGCTACTAGTATTAAAAAAAACCTCTAAAATCAGAACAGCAAAACAACAGAGAGGAAACAATCTGAAACATCTAATCACTTCTCACAACAGATTGCCCCAGGCACTGCCAGGCCATCAAATGCTAATCAAGGTGGTCAGTTGAAACATTCACACCTAGCTCCAGCAGACAAGAGTCCTTTGTCCCACCCTGGTCATTCCACAGATACATAAACCCATTTTCCTAGTTCCAACAGACCTCACTACCTCTGAGGATGCTTGCCATAGATGCAGGCAAAATGTCAGGAGAGAATGCCTCTAGAACATGGCCATATAACCCGAAAAAACCTACAACAACCCAATACCATTTTTTATTTACTTATTGCTAAGTATAACCACAATGATCAAACATTCGTTGACATCACTCCATCCCACAGTTGGTTTTATTTCCTGTCCCAGTTAAGTGTGTTTGTTATTTCTTTCTGAGTAAATAAGGCACCAAAAAGTTACACTTGAAAGAAAAATGAGCCAGCCAGCACGTAGTATGATCAAATTTTGGAATTATGTTGTAGCTCTTCTATATTTCAGCCTCCTTCTTTTGGACAGAAATGGCTGCTGTTGCCATATGGTTTCGGGACTTTTAATTTTTGTATTTCAAGGGAATCTGACATTTCTTACTACAAGGAACTTTTTTTAGACATTCAGAAATGAAGTAAGCTGAATTCATATGGAGAAGGAGTAAGCTAGCCCTCTCTTTCCAACTGCTGTCCCTGCGCAACCCAGCCCATCTATCTATATGGGCCCAAAGTCATGGTTTGCTCTGGTGTCTGAGGAAGTATGTAAAGAAACACACAATTTTATTTCATGCAGTTGAAGGCCAACTTACACATCGCTTTAGCCCAGATCAGCTCCCCATGTTGCTTAGCCATCATGGAACTGATTTACTGGCCCTTCACACTAAGTGGATGATGTAGATGTGCCCCTAGTTCATAGAATCATAGAATAATAGAGTGGGAAGAGACCACATGGGCCATCTAGTCCAACCCCCTGCCATGCAGGAAAAGCACAAAGTACGGGGTTTTGTTTTGGGCATCTTCAGGTTGGCAGTATGCATGTCTTCACTGATGGTGTCCATCCATCTTTTGTTTAGCTGTCCATGTGGTTGTTGTCCTGCAATCTCCAAATCTAGTGCTGTTTGTGCTACTTATATCGGTACTCTTCTCATGACATGGCCAGTCTTGCTTCCTGCATTTACTTGCTGATCACTTTTGTTCTTAGACTTTGACGGATGTCATCATTTGATGCATGGTCAAGAAGTGTCAAGCCAAGTATCCATCTCAGCATTTTAATTTCCCTTGGTTTAAGGGAATTGTTCAGGCATTTTTGAGTAACACAGAATGCCAGTAGTTTCCCACTATTTCAACATGGCTGCATTTATTTGTGACCATATATCTGGCATTGTGTCACCATCTATGGAGACCAGTGACCCTAGGTATTTAAATTGGTTGGCCTTCTTTAGTACTTGTCCATTAATTTGAATTGTTCTTCCAGTTTGAAGGCCACATTCCAGATACTCTGTTTTGTGTATGTGCAGTTGGAGTCCATTATCACTGTAAACATTGTATATGCAACAAACTGATGAACTGGCGGGAAGGAATTTTGGATAATAGGATGCCACTTTAAAAGAAAAAAATAGCATCGTAGTGTTAACTATTATTAAGAATTCCATCAAGCAGGGTTTTGCTGGAGTCCTCAATGATCTCAACAGTGTTGTTGTGAAATATAATTGCCTCCTTCAGCTTTATCATTAAACCTATCATTAAACCACTGTGAAAATGTCTGCATCTAGCAATAACATCAAATGCGAGCAATCTAAACGATATCCTGCTGAAGACGGGCAAGTATAGTTGTGGAGGACCTAGAGACCTGGGGAGACTACTTCTCTTGATATCTCTACTTCAGTGCAATTCCAGCTTCCCGTTAACCATAGAAATGTGCTAGAGAATAGGTTTGTGCAATCCGGGTAAACCTTGACCCGTTTTGTGTCCCAACGTTTGGTGGGGGCCCCGATCCATTTTTGGGATCCTCCTGAAATCGGAAGGGCAGATATCCGTCTTCGCTCTGGGGTGCCAAAAGATCCCTTTTCTATCGGCCCCTTATGGGGGGGGGGTACCCAAGCTCCCCTTCCTGTCATAGTCATTGAAGCTGTTTCTACTCTAGAGGAGAGGCGCTCAGCTGCAGGCAGACAGGCACACTTTCTGGGACTGCACACCACACACACACACACACACACACACTTGAAGGCAAGGAGGCAAGTTCTGTTTCTTACTCTAGAGGAGGTGCTCGGCTGCAGTCAGGTGTCTGTGTTTTCTGGGCCTGCACACCACACAAACACTCTTTCCAAGGCAAGGAGGCAAGTCGTGTTTCTTACTCTAGAGGAGATGTTCTGCTGCAGTCAGGCATGTGTGCTTTCTGGGCCTGCATGCCACTCTTTCCAAGGCAAGGGGGCAAGTTCTGTTTCTTACTCTAGAGGAGGCACTCGGCTACAGTCAGGCGTGTGCGCTTTCTGGACCTGCATGCCACACAAACACTCTTTCCAGAGCAAGGAGGCAAGTTCTGTTTCTTACTCTACAGGAGGCACTCGGATGCAGTGTGTGTGCATGCTTTCTGGGCCTGCATGTCACACACACAATCTTTTCAAGGCAAGGAGTCTGCTCGCAAAATGCAAGCATGGAGCCAGGATAGGCTCCTGCTTGCTTTCCTGCCAAGCTGATTTTTGTACCAGGAGGGGACTTCCTGTTACGTGCTCTGAAAGCTAACGAAAATAACAAAAGAACAGATATAACGAAGGAAAACAGATCCACGCATAACTCTACTGGAGAACCTAAATATTCCTCAGGAAGTGTTGTCTCAGGTTACAAAGGAACATTTTTTAAATCAACATTTCTTCACTTTGTGATGAAATGTGATGTGATGAAATGTGATGGCCCTGGTCTCCTAACCCCAGCAAATGTGGAGGTCTGCCTTTCATGGATTGTTATCCTTATTTGCAATCCATTTTCAGGTTGGAATGAGGTTTAGAACAACTTGTATTGTCTATATCACTGTGGCTGATAAGACAATGCTGTTTTGCAGATACTCAGTGCAATTAGAGGGAAAATAACATTTCCAGTAAAACACAACAACAACGACAATGAAAGGTACAAATCAAGACAGTGTCAATCAATATAACTGGGACTCATTGATCAGTGGAACAAAGAGTAATGTTTGCAGTGCCTTCAAAATCAATAGTGCAGTGTGACACATGCAAACACACAAAATCATACACATCTCACTGTCACTTTCCCTATCTTTTCCCAATGGTGTAATTGAAAGCACTGCTTGCTTCTCCCCTGCCTTGTTTACTTGCTTGGAATAACAACTCAAGGTGTTGTGCTGGATCTTGCCATCGACACTTCATTTTGAACTTCACTCTTGAAAGCGTGCAGTTTGTGGTGTTTGGGATTGCCACATAAAAGTAAGTACATCTTGGTTGGACATAATTATTTGGGGGGTATGTTTACTCCACCAGCTCCTTTAATTAATGATAAGCAGTATGAGGAAAACTTCCAGCAAAATAATATATGGTCCTGCAGTAAAATATTTTTGTGTCATTCCATTCTAAAGTTTTGTGCATTATACTTTCCTCCTTTGCCCCTTACTTCTCTCAATTTGGAACAGTTGTTCTCAAACTTTGGTCCTCCAGATGTTCATGATTTCAACTCCCAGTTTGTCCAGCTGTCAGGAATTCTGGGCGACAAAGTCCAAAACATCTGGAGGACCAAAGGTTGGGGTCCATTAATTTAGGACACTCTCAATTTTATTTATTTCCTTATTTAAAATCATGGTTTTCTTGCAGTCTGAGGGATCTTCCACACAGCCATATATCACAGAATATCAAGGCAGAAATTGTATTGCTTGCAATGTTATTGAAGCAGAATATTGTAACGGATCTGCAGGAGGCAATTAAAAGCTGGGAACAACTATTGCTGGCAGCGTGTATTTGCATTATTGTAAGCAGCGCATTTGCTGTTTGTGTTCCGAGAATTCTATTGATGTGGCGAAGGGTTAAGTTTACTTGTCCAAACCTATCTCCAGCTTACTTGTCCAAACATATCTTGTCCGAAGGCCCAGCTTACTTGTCCAAATGTATCTCCCTCTATGTCTTGGCTCGGAGTCTAAGATCATCCGGGGAGGCCCTGCTCTCGATCCTGCCCCTGTTGCAAACACGCTTGGTGGGGACGAGAGACAGGGCCTTCTTAGTAGTGGCTCCTCGCCTGTGGAACACACTCTCCAGCGAAATTAGGTCAGCTACATCCCTCCTTTCCTTCAGGAAGAAGTTGAAAACATGGTTGTGGGACCAGGCATTCGGGTAGCAGGCTGACAACAATCACAATGTCTTTGAGAACAGACTATGGACAGGTTTTGGATTGGGTTATTGGTTGCTGAATTGGATTTAGACATGGCTATTTAAGTTAGTACTGTTTTAAATGGATTTTTAACCTAATGTTTTTATTTATTAATAGCCATCCCCTGCCATGCATTGCTGTGGCCCACATGGGGGTTCTGTGTGGGAGGTTTGGCCCAATTCTATCATTGGCCGGGTTCAGAATGCTCTGTGATTGTAGGTGAACTATAAATCCCAGCAACTACAACTCCCAAATGTCAAGATTCTATTTTCTCCCAAATCTACCAGTGTTCACATTTGAGCATATTGAGTATTCGTGTAGCGTTTGGTCCAGATCCATCATTGTTTGAGTCCACAGGGATCTCTGGATGTAGGTGAACTACAACTCCAAAACCAAAGGACACTCCCCTCCAAATCCTTTCAGTATTTTCTGTTGGCCATGGGAGAACTATATGCCAAGTTTGGCCCCATTCTATCATTGGTGGGGTCTTTGATTGTAGGTGAACTATAAATCCCAGCAACTACAACTCCCAAATGACAAAATCAATTTTTTTGAGTGAAGGACATACATTGGGTTGTTAGGTGTCTTGTGTCCAAATTTGGTGTCAATTCGTCCAGTGGTTTTTGAGTTCTGTTAATCCCACAAACGAACATTACATTTTTATTTATATAGATGTAATTGTCATGTTTTACTGTGTCTTGTATGAATGAGCATCAAATTGTTGCCGGCTGTAAGCCGCCCTGAATCCCCCTTCGGGGCAGGGTACAAATGTTTGAAATAAATATATATATTAATTAAAAGAAGTGCAAGAAATTGAAGAGAGGAAAAAGACACTGTAGACTTATTATGTGTTAGTGAAATTTGTAAATAACTCTTTGAGCAGAAATGAAATGTAATGTTTTGAGTGGAGCTCAGAAGAGGAAACGAGCTGCAGAGGAAAAAGAGAAAATGAACACTGATTTTGTTGGTGGCACCAATAAATATATGTTTATGTTATCAATAATGTACATTTTATTTATGCAGATGGTTATGGCTCAGGGTCCTATAATGCTGTTACAACAGCCATGCCTTCTGCCACAGTTTTTGTAGGATATTCAGCAATTCTTCAGGGATATGGCATGGACCAGTTATTTCTCCCTGCAATACTGGACTTCTCACAACAACAGTTTTTCAAACAAAATTTTGGGCACTTTATGGAGCAGTTTTTTTGACCAAAGATGAGGAGTGAAGTCTGTGTATGTCTGTGAAATAAGGAATAATGCAAGGAGCAACCATAAATTGCATACAAGGCATAAGTTAAAAGAGCATATTAACATCAATGCATTCTTACTCTGGAACCTGGCTCTACTGCCTCTCAGTTTGTTTCCAAGACTCTGAGATTTTGACTTCTGGATTCTGACCTTGACTTTGTTGTTTCCATTGTCTTGAATCCTGACTCTGCTGCTTTTTTGACTGCTGACATTTCTGGCTATGGACTGTGACCTAGGCTATCGTCATTATTTCTTGGCTTGGTATTTGACTCTGCTACTTTTCTGACTACCAACATTTTCTGACCTTGGCTTACATTTACTCCTGACCTAATTCTGTAATTTCACCAGCTTGGCTTTGGCCATTTATTTATTTATTTCGGACATTTATATCCCATCCTATCTTGACCTCTGCAGAGGGACTCAGGGCAGCTAACAACCGGCACACTGTGGTGCCCACAACTAAAAGCATAAATATACAATTTAAATAAAACCAATATAAAAACAGTCTAAAACATTCAATCCATCGCAGATTTAAACCATCATCCTAAAAAGCAGTTCATCCATTAAAGCCGTCGCTTTGCCAGCAGGTCAGCCTAGTCTGCAAAGGACTGATCCCGTAGCCAGGATTTCACTTGTTTCCGAAAGGTCAGGAGAGATGGAGCAGATCTAATTTTACTTGGAAGTTCCACAGTCAAGGGGCCACCACAGAAAAGGCCCTGTCTCTTGTCCCCACCAGATGCAATTATGATGATCGGGGGACAATGAGCAGGGCCTCCCCGGATGATCTTAGGGTCCTAAGTGGATTGTAGCAGGAGATACGTTCAGACAAGTAAACTGGACTATGGAACTCAGCATGGGCCCACCTGTATCTGTTTGTAGTTTGTATTGCTTATTATTCTGACTTGCCTTTCAATAACTCCAGAATTTGGGCTTTTCTGATATTGGATTCTTCACTTTGGCTGATTCTCCTGTTTGTTGGTGAAACCTACACTCCTATAATGTGGCTTATGATATCTGGGCACCAGTTGATAGCCTACTCAGCTCTGCTCTTTAGTGTGAATGCTAAAAAAAACTATAGAGGATGCTGAATCCTTTTGAAAATAGAATTCAGCACCTAGGATAGCTCTTTGAAATTTCAAACTAAGTCCAGGGATGATTTCCTGCCCAATGGAAGAAATGGCTGCCATTGGTTGGATTCAGATTTAGATGTTTGCAACTATGTAAAGTAAAGGTAAAGCCTTGACATGAAGTCTAGTCGAGTCCAACCCTGGGGTGGGGGAAGTGCTCATCTCCATTTCTAAGCCAAAGAGCCGGCATTGTCCATAGACATCTCCTAGGTCATGTGGCCAGCATGACTGTATGGCGCACTGTTAACTTCCTGCTGAAGTGGTACTTATTGATCTACTCACATTTTGCATATTTTTGAACTGCTAGGTTGGCAGAAGCTGGGGCTAACTACAGGAGCTCACCCCACTCCGCAGATTCGAACCGCCGACCTTCCGATCAGCAAGTTCTGCAGATTAGCAATTTAACCCATAGTGCCACTGTGGCCCCTATGTTTGCAACTAGGCTAGTAGAAATGTATTTATATATATCTCTCTGTCCAGGGATGTTGCTCCAGCAAAGCTCATTTAAGTGAAATGATGCATGGGGTAAAGTATGCAAACAGATCTCTCCAAAAATTGGGTAGAGACACTTCCATGAGCAAAACTTCCCAACATATGGTTCCCATCTCATTTATTCTGGACTACCTTCCATCTTTTCGTGTGTATGGCTTTCTGGTGATGGGCAGAGGCCTGTGCTGAGCAACATAAAGTCAATGTGACCTCAAGGTGGCCATTGACCAGTGGAACAGTCCCTGAAAAAGAAAATCAATTAATGCAGAGTGACACATGGCCTTGGTGCCTGCTAAATGGGACTTTTTGTTCAAGTATTTCCTTTTTTATTTGCTGATGATTACACATACGTATTTAATTGAAACCCCACTTCAAACAGGTTTTTGTGCCTCTCTAAGGGTGGTACGAAGAAAAAGAAGAAAATATTTAAAAAACACATTAGAAAGAGAAGATCCATCCTGTTCCTCGTTGGAGACCTTACAGCTTGGGATAGACTTATTGACCTGCGAAGTAAATAAGGTAAAGTCAGATACTATCTTTAGAAATACATATTGAGAACTCATGTTATAATATGGAAGTGAAGCACTGTCCACTTTGAGTCCCCGCAGGCGTGAGAAAGACGGTATATAAATACTGAAAATAAATAAATAATATTAATGTTAGCTTATAGGTAGATAACTATTTAGGTTGCCTTCTTCCCAGTTCAATAATGAAGTTCAATATTGGTTCGTTGTAGCTCCATCCACCTTCAATGCACATTTGGTCTTCTACTTGTTTTAGCCTTTTTCTTCCAAAATTTTGGAACCAACCACACCATTTAAAACTCACAGGATGTCTGAATTTCCTCTTGTGTCATGGGAGCTTATACTTCAGGTGGTGTAAATGTTACATATCTATTCTCTTGGTTCCCACTGATGAGCATATACATTTTGCCATTGTATGTAAAGGACACCATCTTACTATACCATTGTATATAACTGGACTCAAGCATCTACAGATTGATGGGATGTCCTGGAACCAAACACCAGCAGATACTAGGGGCTCACTGTTGTGCTAAAACTCACTACAAACAGCAACAAATAAAAGTAAAAATGGCAGTATATTAACTAGATACATCAGCTGAAACAAGTATGGCAGGACATTAAGGTAAAGGTTTCCCCTGACATTAAGTCTATTCATGTCTGACTCTGGGGGTTGTGCTCATATCCATTTCTAAGCCGAAGAGCCGGCGTTGGCCATAGAAACCTCCAAGGTGATGTGGCTGGCATGACTGCATGGAGTGCCGTTACCTTCCCACAGAAGCGGTGCTTATCATGTATTGTCAAAGGCTTTCATGGCCGGAATCACTGGGTTGTTGTAAAAATGAACAAAATCTGGCTACCAGTATTAAAAACCTCTAAAATTAAAACAGCAAAGCAGCAGAGGGAAAACAATCAGGGACATCTTATCACCTCTCAACAAAAGATTGCTCCAGGCACTGCCAGGCTATCAAATGCTAATCAATGTGGTCAGTTGAAACATTCACACCTAGCCCCAGCAGACAAGAGTCCTTTCTCCCACTCTGGTCTTTCCACAGATATATAAACCCATTTTCCTAGTTTCAACAGACCTCACTACCTCTGAGGATGCTTGCCATAGATGCAGGCAAAACGTCAGGAGAGAATGCCTTTAGAACATGGCCATGTAGCCCGAAAAAACCTACAACAATCTGGTACTTATCATGTTTGGAGAGTGACCATATATCCCATTTCTGTCTGTTCCATCTACAGTGTCGTCATCATGATACACTTTCCCCCGTCCCTAATGAAGGGTTAACCCCACTGTTTGTCTCTTATGAGCTCCTCCCTCACAAATACACTTTTTTCCACTGCTAACTCATCCAGGATTTTATCATTCTATCTTGTGCATTTGGCCTGCCCATTGTGTTCAACTTTTCATTATGTTATTTTGCACTGTTTATTTTATCTTGTTGCTTTATGTATTTTATTGTGATGTAATTTTTCATTGTTTTGTATTTCATTTTGCTGTATTGTATTTTCAGGCTTGGCCTCATGTTAGCCACTCTGATAGATAGTGGCGGATATAAATAAAGATTATTATTATTATTATTATTATTATTATTATTATTACACTTGCATGTTTTTGAACTGCTAGGTTGGCAGAAGCTGAGGCTAACAGCAGGAGCTCACCCTGCTCCCTGGATTCGAACTGCCAACCTTTCAGTCAGCAAGTTCAGCAGCCCACTGCACCACCAGAGAGACCATGACAGGACATTAGGTAAAGATAAAAGTAGTCCCCTGACATTAAGTCCAGTCATGTCTGACTCTGGGGTGTGGTGCTCATCTCAATTTCTAAGCCGAAGAGCCAGCGTTGTCCGTAGACACCTCCAAGGTCATGTGGCCGGCATGACTGCATGGAGCGCCGTTACCTTCCCGCCGGAGCGGTACCTATTGATCTCCTCACATTTGCATGTTTTCGAACTGCTAGGTTGGCAGAAGCTAGGGCTGACAGCGGAAGCTCACACCGCTCCCCGGAATCGAACCTGCGACTTTTTTGGTCAACAAGCTCAGCAGCTCAGTGCTTTAACCCACTGCACCACCGGGGGCTCCTTACAAGGACATTACAAGGGATGAAATCACCAAACAGAATACCCTAATATTTACTGCATCTATTGAACAATCTGGAAGAGACCCAAGTTGGAAGCCACCACTATATTTTGGGAACAGTGAATTTTGCAGTTTAACTCCTTGGCTTCATAATTTGTTTGTGATCCAAGCTCACAAACCAGAACACAGTTTTGTAATGAAGTCTATTGTTTGTTTTTTACACTCTATAATTTCTCTGGATTGTCTTCCTTTGTGTATTTTTTCTGTTCCAGGGAAAGAAAGACAACGATACATGATGTGTACTGGAAAGTGCTCCAAATGTACATGCACCAAATGCATTGGGATAGCTTTGCTTCCACTTGCTGTCTGTGCCATTCTCTCCAATCTTCTCCTCTACTTCCCCAATGGAGAAGTATTAGAAGCCAGCAGGATCACCGATCTGGTCTGGTTTTTCCATGGGATTCTGGGAGCTGGGATACTGGTAAGAAAAAGCATTCATTTTTGGAATAAACCTTATATTTCAGCATATTAGTGAATAGGGAAGAACAAAACAACAAATTGGTACCATCAGTGCCATTTGTTCTTCCACCATGGTTTTTTCCCATTGACAGAACCATCGAATATCAAGAGTTACATGTATTGATAATGAAAACAAATTAGTAATCAGATAACTTTAAGTGTGTTTCTTTAAAAAAGAATATAATAGTAACACTGCTGGTGCCATTAGGGCAAAACAGGGGAGCATAGATTCTGAAGTATCCCACATGATGGGCAAAAGGAAGAGTGGGTTGTTGTAGGTTTTTTTGGGCTATATGGCCATGTTCTAGAGGCATTCTCTCCTGACATTTCGCCTGCATCTATGGCAAGCATCCTCAGAGATAGTGAGGTGAAGAGTCCCAGACCCAAGAGGACTTGTTCACTATATTTTGAAGTAAATGAAGTAATGTATTGTTAACAGCTTTCATGGCCAGAATCACCGGGCTGCTGTAAGTTTTTCGGGCTGTGTGGCCATGTTCTAGAAGTATTATCTCCTGACGTTTCGCTTGCATCTATGGCAGGCATCCTCAGAGGTTGTGAGATCTATTGGAAACTAGGAAAATTGGGTTTATATATCTGTGGAATGTCCAGGATCAGTGAAAGAACTCTTGTCTGTTGGAGCTAGGTGTGAATGTTTCAATTGGCCACCTTCATTAGCATTTGATGGCCTGACAGTTTTTAGGTGCAGCTTGTTAGTGCCTGGGGGAATCTTTTGTTGAGAGGTGATTAGCTGTCCCTGATTGTTTACTGTCTGGAGTTCCCCTGTGTTTGAGTGCTGTTTTACTATTATAATTTTAGAATTTAAAGATTCTCCCAGGCAATAACCTCACAACATATTGTCAAAGGCTTTCATGGCCGGAATCACTGGGTTGCTGTAGGTTTTTTAGGTTGTATGGCCATGTTCCTCACAACCTCACAACCTCTGAGGATGCTTGCCACAGATGCAGGCAAAAACTTAGGAGAGAATGCTTCTAGAACATGGCCATACAACTCAAAAAATCTACAACAACTCAGACCTCACAACCTCTGAGGATGCCTGCTATAGATGGAGGCAAAATGTCAGCAGAGAATGCTTCTAGAACATGGCCACACAACCCAAAAAACCTACAACAACTCAGACCTCACAACCTCTGAGGATGCTTGCCATAGATGCAGGTGAAACGTCAGGAGAGAATGCTTCTAGAACATGGCCATACAACCCGGAAAACCTACAACAACCCAGATTTCACAACCTCTGAGGATGCCTGCCATAGATGCAGGTGAAACGTCAGGAGAGAGTACTTCTAGAACATGGCCATACAGCCTGAAAAACATACAACAACCCAGTGAAGTAATGTACTTTTATCACCTAAGGCAATAGAAAGCTATAGGAGCAAAATGAGAGAATGGCCCTTGATATATGAATATTTCTCACTTAAAATGATTTTTTCCCTTCAGTTTCCAAAACTCTTAGGACTCTTATATTTGCAATGTTTGCATACTCTTGGTCACTTTGCTTGCTCCTTTTTAATGTCTAAGCTCTATTTTGAAATGCATCTGAAACTTTATGTCCCTGCAGTGCTAGAAATTAGAGGATTAAAGGACATTTTCATTGGAGTGGCAGAATTCTTATTTGGGAGGATAAATGCCTAATTTTGTTATATCCCATCATAGCAAACATCCTTGGGCAGAGGTCTCTCCGACACCTGGGCAGCTCCAGGTGTATACGTTGGTTAAGAAATACAAATCAACAAAAACCCTGCACCACTCCACAAACTTTCTGCACAAAACAAATGCTCAGATGCTAAAGTGTGGATTATAATCTCATGCAGATGATGACTTCTTCTGAACTGTTTAAGTAGAAGTAGCCTAAGGTCATGTTGAACGGTGCTACACAGGCACGGAAAGAACAGCAAGGGAGTGAAAGAGCCCATCGATTTTACAAGCAGTGACAACAGCACTCTGAAAGGAATTATTGAACCTCAATGCGAGACTGCAATTAAACGGTGCTCTTTTCTGCGTAATTGCATGTACAAAGGCAACAGTGTTTTCTGTGGTTTTCTTCCTGTGACTATGGCAGCACCATCTGCTTATTATTATTGTGATTATTATTATTTTACTGACACAAAAACCCAGTATGTCACAGCAAATGAGATATATATTCTGGATTTCATATTACAAAATCACAAGTTGAACGCTTCCCAAGCGTCTASGACAGTGTGATGTATTTTCAAATGATGCACGCAGATCCAAGTAAGGTGGCCTTTTGCAGTTGACAGATCATGATTTTGTCAATGTTTATTGTTTCCAAATGCTAGCTGAGATCCTTTGGCACGGCACCCTGTGTGCCAATTATTATTATTATTATTATTATTATTATTATTATTACCACCCACTGTTATTTCAGGAAGGTAAAGGTAAAGGTTTTCCCTGACATTAAGTCTAGTCATGTCCGATTCTGGGGCGTGTTGCTCATCTCCATTTCTAAGCCAAAGAGTCGGCATTTTTCATAGACACCTCCATGGTCATGAGACAAGCATGACTGCATGGAGTGCAGTTACTTTCCCATAGAAGCAGTACCTATTGATCTATTTACATTAGCATGCTTTCAAAATGCTAGGTTGTCAGAAGCTGGGCCTAACAGCGGGAGTTCACCCCACTCCCCAGATTTGAACCGCCAACCTTATGATCAGCAGCTCAGCAGTTTAACCTGCTGTGCCACCAGGTGGTTATTTCAGGAACCAAGACCCAAAGTGGCTCACCAACAAAACCCAAACCTATACAACTGAAAACACATAAAAAGTAAATATTAAAACAGAATGAAACTATGGAAATTATTGAAACAATTACCAAACTAATAGTTGCATAAGAAAGGAAGGAAGAAGGAAGGAAGGAAGGAAGGAAGGAAGGAAGGAAGGAAGGAAGGAAGGAAGGAAGGAAGGAAGGAAGGGGGAGATGGCAAACTCATGCTGCTGCTCCTTCAAACAACACTAAACTTGTAAATGTATGACCTTTGTCAGTCCATCTGGCTTCCATACAGGAGAGGCAATACCATTTTGTCCTTTGTGTCAATCAGCAAGATGCATAGGAATGGTCTTCTGTCTCTACCCTGATTTTCCATTACCATAACATATTTTACAGGGACATGTACTTCTTCAAGAGTAATATTTTCTGTGTTTCCCTTTTCAGGTGTTCTTGCCCGCATTTATGATGCTCGGGATAGGTGGAGCAGGATGTTGTGCAAACAAATGTCGGGTAAGCAACAATGGCAATGGCAGTCTTATAGAGGAGAAGAACTGTCAGCAGAAATGTGGACATAATAAGATGAAAAAGTAGAAAGCCTAGGATTGATACTTTTAGGAATACAGTTTCTGGCATTCCCAGACAGTATGTTACATTCTGGGAGCCATTTTCCCAAGCTCTAACCATGATGCCCAAGAGACAAAAGGCACATCCCACGAAAAAGAACACTCTCGAGAACACTTCACTACCTCTGAGGATGCTTTCCATAGATGCAGGCGAAACGTCAGGAGAGAATGCCTCTAGAACATGGCCATATAGCCCGGAAAAACCTAGAATAACCCAGTGATTCTGGCCATGAAAGCCTTCAACAATACATTGAACACTCTCAAGGTTTTCAGAGATAGAGCTATGTGTTTGTGTGTGTGATAGTTATTCTAAGACTCTTTTACTGCCTTCTCCAAACTTGTTGTCCACTCCCCAGAGCTGACATGGACAGCAGAATGCTTTTGATTGTGTAACATGGGATCACAACAATTCCCAGGTACCCAAGTCTTCATAGGAATCATCAGAACGTACTTAATGATTGAACACTGGGCAAAATTAAGATGGTTGTTCTTGCTGATCTAGAAACATCCAGATCCCCAAATTTCAAGATATATAATTTAATACTGGAGTCAGGATTGCTCATGCCATTGCATTCCCATTTCTGTACAAGATTGCGAAAAGTAAACAGTGAAGAAAGCTCTTGGGAAATAAAAACTTGGTGCTGATGGAGACTTCTATATATATTACAAGCTGCTAAAAAGACAAATAAATAGATCCTCAAGCAAATAAATGCTGGTTTGTTTTTAGAAATAAAAATGACCTTAAGGGATTATCTGCAGACCTCAAGTTATCCCTGAAATCTCAAGGCCCGAAATTGCTTTGACTTGGCAACCCTCGAGATAATTCTGGAAATCTTTAGGACTTACTTTTATCCCACCTTTCACACCCATTAGATAATGTGATGAAAGGGGGGAAACATACTATTTTTTGGTTAATTCAGATAACAATTTACAGATGGGAAGCACTGTGAAACAACTTCATAGTGTGGTCAAAATGGAAAGCACTATTAATGAAGAAATACACAAAAGCTAGGAGAAACTGCAGCAGTTTGCTTTTGCCTGATCTTGCTGAAAAGAGGACAGCTGTGTACCCAACTCAGCTTTCCCCCCTGTTGAGTTAATTGAGAGCAGCTACTGTGCTTTTGTAAGGGAAACCATAGATATCACATCCATTGATATCAAATCCACGGATAGTGAGGGGCATACTGTATATCATATTCATCCAGAGTGCTCAAGTGTACCTCTTTATTCCACTTTGTCTTTACAACAGTCTACCACTACATCACATGGGGCTTTTTAAAGCATCCCAGCGATGGATGGGCAGCTGCCCATCACATGATGTTGCTGGACTTCTGGCAGAGACGCTGCCAACAACCAAAGTGGAAGCCTTCTAGGAAATTTTCCTCCAAACATGGGTGACAGCCCATGTTGAACTGGCTCCAATGGTGCCTGCACGGATCTGTGCCACTTTGGTGATGCTTCTCCCATGTAACAGCAGAAGCGTTGCCACAATGAAGTGGTGCACGGAACCACAGAGTCATCCCCTATCCTTGCCATTTTGTCATGGAGGCTGGCAAAATGGCACAGGGAGAAGTCTCCCATGTGATGAAGTCCTTAGAGAGAATAACTGATCAAGGCAATCCAGGGAATTTCATAAGTACAAGCTAGACTCTAGACTCTTGGTCTAAGCCGGATCACAACATTTTCATCCGTGACACTATGCCACTTCTGTCTGTTTCTGAACCTAAAACTTCTTTCTTTCAGATGCTGCTGTCTGTTGTCTTTGCAGCACTGGGAGCTGCTGGTGGGGTCTACTGTGTGATCATTTCATCCTTGGGTTTAATCAGTGGTCCTTTGTGTGATATCGGCGATGAGGTATATCTCTATCCTTTCCGGAACAGCACCTTGGCGTAAGTGCAATGGAAACCACTCTCTGTACTTCTGAAGTTGGTACAAAAAGTGGAAAATGTGGCACACACTTCTTTCCCCATTTCTTCTCCCCAGTTCTTGGGTTTGTACTTCCCCTGTTTGCTACAGAGAGCAGGACTCCATGGTCTGTCAAAGAGTGGGATGGATGGCAATAATATGGATGTGTTTGTTTTGTATGTGTATGTGTCAGGAGCGACTTGTGAAACTGCAAGTAGCTTCAGGTGTGAAAGAATTGGCCGTCTGCAAGGACGTTGCCCAGGGGATTCCCCGGATGTTTTGATGTTTATTCATTCTTATGGGAGGATTCTCTCATGTCCCCACATGGGGAGCTGGAGCTGACAGAGGGAGCTCATCCATGCTCTCCCAGATTCAAACCTCCGACCTGTCAGTCTTCAGTCCTGCCAGCACAAGGGTTTAACCCACTATGCCACTGAAGGCTCCTGTCACAGAGGTTTCTGGGACTTAGAGTATGTTACTCACCCAGTGGGTTTCCAAGGCCGAGCAGGGAAATCAAACCCTGGTCTCAAGGGTCGTAATCCAACACTTAAACAATTGCACCACACTAGCCAAACATCATGTTTGAAACTGAGCTGTGTACTTTTGCACTTTCAAAGTTTTTGCAATCTCTTCCTTCTCCTCTTCTTCACTCCTCCTGCTCCTCTTCTGCCTTCTTCTTCCTCAGTTTATCTGACCTTTGCTGTTATCTTCCTCTCAGTCCACAGTGTCCTGTACCAATTGTTATCTCTTTTTTGTGCCCTTGGATAGCTTCCATTAAAAAAATCATGTGCAAGTTACAATATCCAAGGGAATATAAAAACATGAACACTATATATTCTTCTTCAACAATATGCACTTTTAAATTCTTGTGGGTGATAATTCAGTGCAGAATCAGGACTTCAGTCATTCCACTATAGAGCAGCATTTCTCAACCTGGGGGTTGGGACCCCTGGGGAGGTTGCGAGGGGATGTCAGAGGAATCGCCAAAGACCATCAGAAAACACAGTATTTTCTGTTGGTCATGGGGGTTCTGTGTGGGAAGTTTGGCCCAATTCTTTCATTGATGGGGTTCAGAATGCTCTTTGATTAAAGGTGAACTACAAATCCCAGCAACTACAACTCAAGTCTATTTTCCCCAAACTCCACCAGTGTTCACATTTGGGCATATTGAGAATTTATGTCAAGTTTGGTCCAGACCCATCACTGTCTGAGTCCAAAGTTCTCTCTGGATGTAGGAGAACTACAATTCCCAAACTCAAGGCCAATGCTCACCAAACCTTTCTGGTATTTTCTGGATGATCATAATAGTTATGTGTGCTAAGTTTGGTTCAATGCCATTGTTGGTGGAGTTTGATTGTAGGAGAACTATAAATCCCAGCAACTCCCTAATGACAAAATCAATCCTCCCCCAACCCTACCAGTATTCAAATTTGGGCATATGGGGTATTTGTGCCAAATTTGGTGCAGTAAATGAAAATACATCCTGCATATCAGATATGTATGTGGAACAATGGCATCAAACTACAAGAAAGGAGATTCCATCTGAACATGAGGAAGAACTTCCTGACTGTGAGAGCCATTCAGCAGTGGAACTCTCTGCCCCGGAGTGTGGTGGAGGCTCCTTCTTTGGAAGCTTTTAAACAGAGGCTGGATGGCCATCTGTCAGGGGTGCTTTGAATGCAATATTCCTGCTTCTTGGCAGGGGGTTGGACTGGATGGCCCATGAGGTCTCTTCCAACTCTATGATTCTATATACATTACAATTCATAGCAGGAGCAAAATGACAGTTATGAAGTAGCAACAAAAATAATGTTATGGTTGGGGGTCACACAACATGAGAAACTATATTAAGGGGTTGTGGCATTAGGAAGGTTGAGAACCCCTGATATAGAGGGTTTATTCCACCAATTATATTTGTAGTGGACCATTCAGTTGATTAATAGGTTACAGTTCCAACACATATAAAAGAAATTCGTCTTCCAACTCAGATGGTGCTACCAATAGTGTTTACAGAAGTATCTGTCTTAATACATATGCACATATATACTAACACATACATACTTTTCACACAAAAATTACTGCATTAAGAGAAGTAAATTCTTAGTTGATCAAAATGTTACCTGTGTGTACAAATAACTGGCTTTTAAAGGGTTTTTGCTATACTTTTCTTTAATTGGTTGTAAGCTGCCTTTGATCCGATGCCAAAAGACAAAATGAATAAATAATATGTTATTTAAAAGCATGGCAGCCATACATACAATATTAAAATACAAAATTAACTTTTATTTCTCTCATGCAGAGACAATTATCTGCTTAACCAGACATCCTGGAGCATTTGCAAAAAGCCAGAAAACGTCATCCTCTGGAACATTGTCTTGTTCTCGCTCCTGCTGGCCATTGGCATTGCCGAAGCAATCCTCTGCCTCATTCAAGTCTTTAATGGGCTCATGGGATTCCTATGTGGCTCATGCTTGAGGAAAAGAAAGGTGGGTGCATTGAGTGGGCATACACACAGTACAATAAAAAATCCCTTATTCATGGATTCAGTATCCACAGAATCAATATCCATGGTTTCACTTATTTACACTTTAGAAAATATCCTTCTTTTAGTTCCTATTGCGTGACAACAACGACGTTGTGCAGTAGGAACTGTAATCTTTGCTAGTTCATCACCTCCATAGGAAAAAGTCCTTAGCTACATGAACATTATTAGGTATCCAATGCAAGATAAACGACTCCGGCCCAGTCTACCTGTCCGAACGGATTCTCCCCTATGAACCATCAAGGTTGTTAAGATCTTCTGGAGGGGCCCTGCTCTCTGTCCCACCACCCTTGCAATCGCGTCTGGTGGGAACGAGAGACAGGGCCTTCTCGGTGGTGGCCCCTCGGCTCTGGAACTCTCCCATTGGAGATTAGAACTGCTCCCTCCCTCCTGACTTTCAGGAAACTAATAAAGACCTGGCTGTGGAATGTGGCTTTTAAGGACTGATCTCATAACCTCCGTCCACATGGAAGGAGGAGGATGAACTGTGACTATGACTGTGACTGTATGACGATTTGTGTTGGGTAATGAGATGATGATGTTTTTACTGTACAATTTTAATCTGTAATGTTGATGTACTTTGTTTTTGTATATTATTGTAATTTGCATATATGCTGTAAACCGGCCTGAGTCCCTCGTAGAGGTGAGAAGACCGGTATAGAAAACTTCTAAATAAATAAATAAATAAATAAATAAATAAATAAATAAGATATTAATGTGTGTTTTTCCCCACAAAGCTTGTATTAGTTGTATGAGATTTTTGGTATCATGTCTTGGTTCTGGGCACGCTTCCTTGATTAAAGGAAGTGTCATTTTGCCCCAACTCAACTCTTTTCTCCATGTCAGAAGTGACTTGAGAAACTGCAAGTCACTTCTGGTGTGAGACAATTGACAGTCTGCAAGGACATTGCCCAGAGGATGCCCAGATGATTGATGTTTTACCATCCTGTGGGAGGCTTCTCTCATGTCCCCACATGAGAAGCTAGAGCTCAACAGATGGGAGCTTACCCCACTCCCTGGATTCAAACCGCCAGCCCGTCGGTTGACCAGTCCTGCCGGCACAAGGGTTTAACCCATTGCACTACCGAGGGCTCTTAACTCAATAATAATAACACTTTATTTATATCCCGCTATTCTCCCCAAAGGGACTCATAGCGGATTACAGTATATAAACAGACCCAGGTAAACATCCAGTGCCTTCTTATAAGGAAATACAATGAGGCACAAATGCACAAAGGCCAAGGCTTCTCCTTTCATTTCCGGCTCTGGAGGCAGTGTTTATCTCCAGCTCTGAGGGAGGTACTCTTTCTCCATTTCCAAGCTGGGAAGCCTGCATCCATAGACATCTCCAGGTGTTGTGGCCAGCATGACTGCTTGGACCATCTTTTTGCCTTTTCCAACCAAAGCGGTGCCTATTGATCTACACGTATTTGCATGTTTTCAAACCACTAAATGGGCAGAAGATAGAGCTAACAGTGGGAGTTCACCCCATCCTGCGGATTTGAACTGCCAACCTTCAGGTTAGCAGTTCAGCAGCACAAGGATTTTAATCCATTGCACCACCACTGCCCCTCAAGTAGCAAAATATATTTGAGTAGAAGAAATATTGTTCAGGAATACAAATAATTTGGACAAATTTCTATCCGTCTTGTTAAGGCATTTAAACTATTCACTCTTTTCTCTTTTGCTTGTTTACAGACCGATATTGCGGGAATGTGACCGTTCTTCAAATAAAGCTAAAAGCAAACAACAAATGGGCAGAATGAACAGTCAAGGAAGCATGTGTTGTTGTATATTTATGGGAACAAGAAATGGAATGGATGGCCATAACTACAGAAATAATGCAAAACATTTTGTATGTATAAAGAGAATATCTGTATAGTTAGGAAAAAGAAGTGTGTGTAATTTATTTCAGGGTTTTTTGGGGGGTGGGTGGGGTATAGTTTCTTTTCTTTTTTTAGTCTCTTCCTTGAAATCAAGCAAACAGGGGGAAATTATTAACCAAGAACCATGTGGAAATGGCTTAGGCTATGCAATAAAACATAAGTTGGGGTGCTGCTGAGATTTTGGGATGTCATGTCCATGTTCCAGCAGCATGCTCTCCTAACCTTTCACTGGCTAGCATCTTTAATCAGTTAACATAAGTTAATTGGGTTGCTGTCAGTTTTCCAGGCTGTGTGGCCATGTTCCAAAAGCATTTCCTCCTGACGTTCCAAAAGCATTTCCAGTGTTAATGAGAAAAGACACATAATCCAAGACAGGCTGCAGCAGTTTGCTTTTGCCTGAGCCTTTTGCGAAGGGCAGGAGTCTTTCCTTTCTTCTCTGTTACCCAAACTGAATGCAAGCTAATATTGCACTTTGAACTGGGCTGGATCTACACTCCCATATAATGCAGTTTGGAACGGCACTATTTGGGAATGTAGATCCACCTGCAATAGCCTTCATTACATGTTTCCTGGTTGACAGTTTCCACCCACAGTCTCTAAGAGTAATATAACAATTTTTGTGTATTTTTATTGGTGCTGTTTTATTTACCAGGGATGCCCAGGACCAGCCTTCTTAGATAATCTGGTGTCTCTAGTATTCGCTAGACTCTGGGGGTTGGTGCTCACCTCCATTTCTAAGCCAAAGAGCTGGCATTGTTCATAGACACCTCCTTGGTCATGTGGCCAGCATGACCTCATGTAGTGCCATTACCTTCCCACCAAAGCAGTACTTATTGATCTGCTCACATTTGGGTGTTTTTGAACTGCTATGTTGGCAGAAGCTGGGGCTAAAAATGGGAGCTTACCCCGTCGCGTGGATTCAAATCTCCGACCTTCCGGCCAGCAAGTTCTGCAGCTTAGCGGTTTAACCTGCTGCATCATCGCGGCCCCTTAGTCTTAGCCTGAGGGTCAAACAAAACATTTAGCATGATTTTGTATATGTCCCCACAACTAGTAGAAAGATGTGTTTGTCACAACATATTTTTTCTCTTCTGTATCTTGTACTTAGTATGCTTTGTTTTGTGTTTGGTCACTGGAATGTAAACACAGTTTTAGTGTGTCCGATTTCTGCAGCATGTATGTTTGAGAAAATCCTGCTGTAACCGTAGCTTAATATGTGCCCTTTGACATCTAGTTTGACTGCAACTGATACCTCTGAAGTTCACTAAGGACAAGCTAACATTGATGCATGTATTCTATTCAAGAGATGTGTTTATGTAAATTACTCCCTTTGGTTATCTGGGCTACCATCTGCATTTTGACTAATCTGTAAATATTTAAAATGTTGTTGCTGTTATTAAATGCATACTTTAAAGTCAAGTTTGTTCATCTGTCATACTGAATTGAGAGTCCAATGGCAAGAGCAACCCTATCCTGGACACAGACACTATGGAACTACCCAGTTCTGATTTTTCATGTCTAAGTATGGAAATTTTAGATTTAAAAAACCTGGACCTAAACCTGTGTCCACTTATCCATGGGACAACATACTACAACTTAACTCTTATCAAAATAAGGAACCATGTTATTTTCTGCCACAAGCTTAGTCTATTCTGGAAGAACCTAAAACAGGTACTGGTCAACTCTACTTTCTCTGTCACTTTTATTATTTACTTACTTACTTACTTACAGTATTTATATTCCATCAGGCCCGTAGCCAGGATTTCGTTTCGGGGGGGGGGGGGGCTAAAAAATTTTCAGGGGGGGTTTTGGGGGCTGAGTCCGAGTGAAAGAGGGTCTACCCTAGCAAACCTTTTGTATCGTTACCCCAATACCCCCATGCATATGGGATATATTGAGCATGGTGATCAGATCATGATATGAATAAACATAACAGTTTAAATAATGCACCAGTAAGGCCTTTTCGCAGACCACCATGAGAATTTCGGGGGGGGGGGGGATGAAGCCCCTCAAGCCCCCCCCCCCCCCCCCGGCTACATGCCTGTCTTTAGCCCAACATTCAGGGCGGATAACAATGCACAAAGTTGACTTATACATGAGTATATATGGTGAGTTTTCTTGCAGGAATGCAACTCCCCATTTAAGATTTTACAGTTATTTGCTCCCTTTCTCTTTAAGTGGGTCCCAAGGAGGCAGAACTAAAGTACCAATTAAAACCTAATAGTAACCTCTCAAACATAATTTAAAAGCACCACATTAAAGAAATGGTTTATTAACAGTATAAAATCATTAAATAACACTGGTTGTGGAGTGCCCTCAAGGTGTTCTGATTTCTGGCAACCCTGATGTGGCCCTATCATGGTGATTTCTTGGCAAAATCTGTTCAGAGGAAATTTTTACTGTTGCCTCGTTTTGAGACTGAGAAGTGTGGCTTATTTAAGGTCTGTGGGCCTTACAGGTTTTCCCCCTGATTCTTTCAGGTAGAAGGTCAGTCTGTCCATGTCCATTATTTGTTCATCTTCATTTCTAAGCCAAAGAGCCTGCATTGTCCATAGATACCTTATTTATTATTTTATTTATTTACAGTATTTATATACCACCTTACTCACCCCTGGGGGGGGGGACGGGGACTCAAAGCGGTTTACACATAAATAATGGCAAAATTCAATGCCTTACATTGGGCACCGATACAATGCCAATACAAACAATTACAATAGTAAAACCACAAGTAAACATAAATCATAATTAAAACACTACATCAATGAGCATTAAAACAATAAAACAGTCTCATCACCTTCTAGATCATGTGGCTGGCAAGACAGCATGGTGTGCAATTTACCTTCCTGCCAAGGCAGTGCCTATTGATCTACTCACATTTGCATGTTTTCCAACTGCTAGGTTGGCAGAAGCTGGGGATAACACTGGGAGCTCACCCGTCCCATGGATTCAGACCTTCTGGTCAGCAAGTTCACCAACTCAGCAGTTTATCCATTGCGCCACCACAGCCCCTTACAGCATGGGAGTCATACTGTAATTTCTAGAAATGACATTTATCGAACAAGATGATACGTGCATATTTTTTATGCCTGTGTGCCATCCTTGTTATTTTCAAACATTGTTATTGCTTAAAGACAGTGCAGAATTGTTTTGTCTAAGCTGAGTAGGGTAGAGTTTATGCCTTGAGAGCAAGACTGGAGTTATTTTGGTCACCGTTTCCACACAGTTTCTGAGTCCAGCCATTCCATTATTAATTGTGAGTTGGTTCATGGTGCAGATTCTTCCAATAAGCCACACATGTTTGGCTTTTGAATTCTGGATCACTCTTGGAAATTTGCACGTTCTACAATCCAAAGAGGATGGCGCTGAATATAAGTGGCTTGATCGCTTTGGTTTTATTTTATGCCATGACTTTAGCAATTGGAATATGGGCTTCCCGGAGAAGCAAGAAACAAAAGACCAAGAAGCCCAGTGAAGTAGCCATAGTGGGAGGAAGAAACATGAACTTTTGGCTTGGACTTTTCACAGCAACTGGTAAGTAAGAAGTTCTTTTGAAATGTTGCTTACATGGAAAAGTTTTCTTGAATAGGAGAAAAATCACATCTTGGAGTGGGAAATTTCGCCCAATTTTATCATTGGTGGGGTTCAGAATGTTCTTTGATTGTAGGTGAACTAGAAATCCCAGCAACTACAACATCCAAATGTCAAGGTCTATTTTACCCCAACCCCACCAGTATTCAAATTTGGGCATATTGAGTATTTGTGCCCAATTTGATCCAGTGAATGAGAACACATCCTGCATATCAAATATTTACATTACGATTCATAACAGTAGCAAAATTACAGTTAGGAAGTAGCAATGAAAACAATTTTATGTTTGGGGATCACCACAACGTAAGGAACTGTATTAAGGGGTTGTGGCATTAGGAAGGTTGAGAAACAGTGATGTAGAGATTGCTAAAGAGATATCCTTTCTAGGAATTTGCTAGGTGCACTTATCCAATTCATTGCTAAATTCTAGGACTGTGATTCCCAACCTTTTTTTGACCAGGGACAACTCTCCAACATTAGTACCAAAAGGGTTACGAATCAGTTTTTGGTCAACTTTAGATTCAGTTTGGTTATTTGGGGTGCTGATTCAGAAAATTGTATTGGACAAACATCATCTCTCATTTCTGATACAGAACATATGCCATCAAGTAGTCGCCATCTGCTTGCCATGGAAAACCATATGTATTAAGCCTCAGAGCTATAAGAGGGTTTCACGAGACCAGTCACTCTTGTTGCATCAGTGTAGTAACAGTCCACAGACCACAGGTTGGAAACCACTGTTCTAGGGGCAGCATGTGGAATAATCTAAAATAAACTATGTGTAGTTCACATTTGATCAGTCCACATACTGTCTTGCCAAAGAAAATATGCCATGCAGATGATCAATAAAGAACAAGTAGTTTACTCTTCGTAATACAGAACAACATATGTACAATCATGCGATCAGTCGCATTAACTCACTTAATGTCCTTTTAGAGAGATTTAAAATGGTCTTTCTTTGTCCATGTGGAAAAACTCCTTCCAGTAGCTCATGAAGCAAGAGCACACTTCAAACTGTCTGTCTCTATCTCTCTGTGAGAATCTGCACAGCTCAAGATTGAAAAAATGTAACAGTAACCATAACTCCCAGGCTCAGCTAGCTCCTTGTGCATAGCCCAACCAATCATCTTCAAGTATCTTATTTTATAGTTTACACACACACACACTAACTTATTTCTTACATGCTCCAACAAAGCATACCATAGAATCAAACTGGGCAACCTAGCAAATTCTCAAATTCTCAGAGCATACAATCTAATATAAAACTGGGCAACCTAGCAAATTTTCAAATTCTCAAAGCATACCATCAAATCAAACTGGGCAACCTAGCAAATTCTCCATAAGAGGATAAGTAAAACCATGGATATAGTTTCCCAAGCTATTTGGGGTGGGGTGGGGGGGGGGGGTTACTATAAATTATAACTTATGCAACCAGCACATGCAAACGTTGTGGAAACCTCTGTCCTGTTTTTTCCTGTCTTTCTGCCATAGTAATTTAGAACAGAATGGAAAAATATACCTTTCCATCCATTGTATACCTTTCCATCCATGTCCATTGGTATCTCATTCCTCTATCTCTTGTTTTTCCCAGCAACATGGGTTGGAGGTGCATATATCAACGGCACTGCTGAAATAGTCTATCTTCCTTCGAGAGGACTACTGTGGGTTCAAGCCCCACTTGGATTTGCTGTATCCCTTCTTGTCGGTAAATATTGGCAAATGTAGTTCCACAGCTTCAAACTAGAAATTCTGAAAAATCTTGCACACATTGACTTTCCCAAGTACTGTGCTCAGAAAACTAATTGTGGTGCTGCTGTTCTTTTAAACAGGAGGGTTCTTCTTTGTCAATCCAATGAGAGAGAAGAGTTATGTGACTATGATGGACCCAATCCAAGAAGCCTATGGGAATGTGATGACAAGTCTCTTATTTATCCCACCATTGATTGCTGACATCTTTTGGTTTGCAGCTATCCTTGCTTCTTTGGGTAACTCGCTTCTTTGTTTTTTTCTGAGAATGTTTGTAATGTCTTCCACAAGCTTTACTCAACTTGGAACCTTTCTTGTTGTGTTTAACTATGGGTGCATCTGCTGTCGAATCAATACAGTTTGACACTACTTGTCACTGCCATGACTCAATGCTATGGAATGATAGGATCTTTACAGGATCTTTAGCCTTCTCTGCCAAAGAATTCTGGTGCCTCTCCAAACTGCAACTCCCATGATTCCATAGTACTGAGTCATGGCAGTTAAAGTGGTGTCAAACTGCATTTATTTGACAGTGTGGATGCACCCTATAAGGACTCTCTTCAATGGCCGTCTGGGCAGGGGGTCAAACAAACCCACCACTGTCCCACCAATTATAATAACTAGGCAGATGGCAATACGATCAATCCCACCATCTAACCCCAATTATAAAGGCAGGCTTTATGGCCAAACAATATGACTGGACAGGGGGCAAACAGATCCCACAGACTGTCCTTCCTTTAATAAAGATTTCACACTGCTTTGGCACTTAGATAACACTTGAGGGGATGTCTCTTTATTTAAACCTTCGCTGCCACCATAAGGATAAATGAACAGGAACCCTCTAGCTATTTAAGATGTTTAAAAGGTTGTTTAAAACACCACCAAGTACTGTCTTTTAAAGGCTTCTTTGTAGGAAAACAGATGAGGTTGAATTAAAAAGAAAAGGGACTAAATCCACAAATGGCACTTGACTCAGGCTTAAGTTTCAAAAATAACAAGGAAAGTTTATTGAAGTAAAAGTTACAGAATGAAGTGAATGCAGTTTCATAAGCTTGGCTGTTACAATTAAAGTGTTCTTGTTCTTAAAAGCGTAACGGTTGCATGAGAGAATGGTTCTATCTTTGTTACAGTTCCTATACAAAACCCAGCTATTTCTTCTCTAAAATAGCTGTAACCAGTTTGCCACAGCCTATTTCACTGTGCAAACTCCAGGCAAACTGCCTAGTCTAATCACGAACTCCTACTAGCTTCTCTAATCCTCCTCTAACTCTAACATCTACCAGAACTGAACTGAACTGACTAAAAACAGCTTCTTACTTTCCCTCCAACAGTCTAACTCCGCCCCCCTTTAACAAACCAATCCTGGCTGTTTCTGGGCTGGCTCAGGCCTAGGCCACTCCCCCTCTCTGAACTGGAGCTTTCCCTAAACTAAGATGGCTCCTCCTGCCCTCTGCCAGGCCTTCTAAGCTGAAACTACCTAGTAGGCCTGTCCGGTTTCGTTCGTTAATTCGTTAATTCGTTATTAATTCGTTATTTTAGGCATTTTTGAAGCGATATCAAAACACATTTCCAAACCCGGAAGGGTTTTAAAATATCGAACCAGCAACCCCCATAGATTTAACGAGCTTCCGCTCGTTTCGTTAATGGGGTGGAGGCTGCTGGAGTGCTGGTGCCAGTGGGAGCCAATCCGGCGCTCCCAAGCAGTGCACTGTGGGTCCGTGGCTGTTTGTTTTTGATTGGCCGGTGAGCCCTTTCAAAGCGGCTCCGCGCGGCCGTAGCTCATTGCTGCAGAGGGCGAGGGAGTTTGCATTGGGTTGGCTTGGCTAATGGCTAGCAACTGGATTGGATTCATTCCTTGCTGCTGTGAGTGCTGCTTGCTTCATTTGCTGTCTCCTGCCTGTGTTTGGTCCACATTTGGGCCATTTTTTGGTTAATTTTCCATTTTAAAATATTTTTTAATATTATTTTTTAATATTATTTTAATATTATTTTTTAATATTATTTTAATATTATTCTTAAAAATATTCTAAAAAAGAAAAGACTCTTCTGTTGGTGTGTGCTCTCATTTGCTGTGTCCTGCCTGTGTTTGGTCCACATTTGGGCCATTTTTTTGGTTAATTTTCCATTTTAAAATATTTTTAATATTATTTTAATATTATTTTTTAATATTATTTTTTAATATTATTCTTAAAAAATATTCTAAAAAAGAAAAGACTCTTCTGTTGGTGTGTGCTCTCATTTGCTGTATCCTGCCTGTGTTTGGTCCACATTTGGGCCATTTTTTGGTTAATTTTCCATTTTAAAATATTTTTTAATATTATTTTAATATTATTCTTAATAAATACATAAAAAAAATATTCTAAAAATTCGTTAATATTTACAAAATTTCGTAAATACCAAAACTTTTTTTTGGAAAGTTTTGTAAATATTTTAAATATCGAAACAAAAAAACACCCCAATTACAAATCGATTTTAGAAACAAATTTTTTCTTGATCAAACAGGCCTACTACCTAGCCTGTCTCTCCCAGGCCCTGCCACCCCGGCTGGCAAGGTAAGGGATCTTCACACACCCCATATGAATGTCACTTTGAAGTGGTAAGTAAATATAAAGGTTTTCCCTTGACATTAAGTCTAGTCATGTCCGACTCTGGGGTGGTGCTCATCTCCATTTCTAAGTCAGAGAGCTGGCGTTTTCCATAGACACCTCCAAAGTCATGTGGCCAGCATGACTGGATGGAGTGCCATTACCTTCCCATTGGAGTAGTACCTATTGATCTACACAGATTTACATGTTTTTGAACTGCTAGACTAGCAGAAGCTGGGCCTAACAGTGGGAACTCACCCCACTCCCTGGATTCGAACCTGCGACCTTTCGGTCAGCAAGTTCAGTAGCTCAGTGGTTTAATCCACTATGCCACCAGAGGACTGCTCTAGAAAATTATCATCAAAGCTGGCCTTTTCCAGAAGATTTGGAATTCATTTCCCAAGATATTTCAGGCATTGGTCATATTAGCCCTTCAGAGCTGTGATTCAACATATACGGTGGAAAAGGACATCTTGGTCAGTTCTTCTGTTTATATTGCTAAGGAACAATTATTTTACATGCCCAATGTATACAGTGGATTCTTGGTACCTCCTGGGATTTGGTTCCAGGATCCTTCATGGATACCAAGTCCCATTATATTCAATGGCACCGTAAAATGGTGTTCCTTGTATAAAAAGGCAAAATCAAGATTTTTTAAATAGATTTTTTGAATATGTTGTCAAAGGCTTTCATGGCCTGAATCACTGGGAATTCCAGACAGAAAACAATTAGGGCCAGCTAACTACTCCCAACAAAGGATTCCCCCATGCAAGAAGCAGCCAGGCTCTGAAGCTGCAAGGCCATTCAATGCTAATCAAGGTAGCCAATTGCAACATTCACACTTGCCTCAAACAGACAATAGTTCTTTCTCCCACCCTCCCATTCCACAGATATATAAACCTCACTTGCCTCGTTTCCATCATACCTCACAACCTCTGAGAATACCTGCCATAGATGTGGGCAAAATGTCAGGAGAGAATGCTTCTGGAACATGGCCATACAGCTTGGAAAACTCACCACAACCCACCATTCTTTTTTAATATTTTCAAGCCATGGATTGTTGAATCCATGGATACTGAATCTGTAGATAATTATCTGTATAGAAAATATTTTGCTGCATCTCAAGATTGTCTCTTTTTCCACAGGAGCAACCATAAAGGTCATTTTGGATATCGAAGGATATTTAGCCATCATTTTCTCTGCATGCACAGTTATCATCTACACTTTGCTAGGAGGCCTGTACTCAGTTGCATATACAGATGTCGTGCAACTGATTTTTATAACAGTCAGCCTGGTGAGTTCTAGTATTACTATGTTGCAAATATTCTCAGTGTCTGTGGGTCTCTGATGGATAGCAATAGCTAGAAATGACCTATCCCAGGGAATAAATTCGGGACTACATTCAAAGCCATAGTAGTGGATCACATCCCGCAAAGAGGAACCTGCAGTTTCACTTACCCACACCCAAGAAAATATATCCCCTCTATAAATTTTTGTCCTCCAAAATAACTCTACAGTGATCTCTAGAAGTTTTTCATTTCAGTAGGGTTCACTTTATCCACGGTTTCCTGTTTTCATCTTGTCTTAATCTCCACCTATCTATCTATGTAGATACAGATTAAGATACGATACTAACAAGAATTGAAACAGCAATGCGATGCATCTTCAGAGCCCTTCCGCACTTCCCAATTATAGCACAGTGATTCCACTTCAACTACCATGGCAACATCCCATGGAACCCTGGTGTTTGCAGTTTATTGAAGGACTAGAATTCTAAATGCCTGGTCACAATATTGCAAATCCCAGGATTGCATAGGATGTTGCCATGACAGTTAAAATGGAATTGTAGTGCTATAATTGCATAATGTGAAAGGGCCTCAGTGTATGGAAAATGCATGACATATGGATCTGGCCCATTTTGCTATCCAAGTGATACCTGTGAAGGGGAAATTGTGATATGTACTGTGTGTGCGTTTAAGCCATATGTTGATTTATGGCAACCCCATGAAATATAGCCCACACCACTTGGCATTCATTGACAGCCTCCCATTCAATACTAACCAATTCTGATCCTGTTTAGATGGGATCTGATGAATAATAATAACAATGATAATCTATATAAATAAAAATGTAATGTTTGTTTGTGGGATTAACATAACTAAAAATCCCACTGGGCAAATTGACACCAAATTTGGACACAAAACACCTCTCAGGCCAACAAGTAACCATCACTCATAAAAACACTGAAAAACACAGTGGAAGAGACTTAAACAGCATATATATATATATATATATATATATATATAACAATGCATGCACAAAACCACATATATACACACGCAAAACACATATACACAGACTGGGCCAAAGCACTGCGTGGCAGGGAACGGCTAGCAATGTAATAAAAATAATATAATATTATTATCATTATTTATTTACAGTATTTGTATTCCGCCCTTCTGACCCCGCAGGTGACTCAGGGCGGATCACAATGCACATATACATGGCAAACATTCAATTCCCTAGACACACAGCATACAGAGGCTATTTAACTTTCCAGCTTCATGAGGGTATACTCCAAATTCTGGCCACCGGGGGAGCTGTTGCTTCACCATCCACTTGTGACACTGATTGAGTACTTCCTCATTTTTTGCACACTGCTGGAGATTTTTATGGCGTCATAAATTAGTTAAATTTTCCTCCCCGCATAAGTGGTACCTTAATTTCCAACTTGACAGATGCAACTATCTTTCGGGCTGCAAAGGTCGACAGCAAGCAAGACAAAGGGTTGGGAGCTTACTTCGACCCTCGCTTCGAACTCATGACCTTTCAGTCAGTAGTGATTTTAATGTAGCTGACTCCCAACCAGCTGCGCCACAACCCGGTCCTTTTATTATAATATAATATTAATGTGCCAGTTTTGGAACTAGCCAAAATATGGTTCCTAAACTGGCATGAAGAGTGGTTTGAGCCTTGAACTATGACTCTGGAGACTAGAGTTCAATTCGCTGCTCTGTTATGAAAACCCACTGGGTGACCTTGGGTTAGTCATATATTCTTGACAGCAGAAAACCTTCTAAAACCTTTACCTTAGGTTGTGACACACCAACACCAAAAACATAATATATTCAGTAAGGAATTGTTTACCACTTAGGTCTACATGGAACCAAATACAGTATTTTTGATGGCAGAAGATGAAATGTAAACATTGGTGTAATTCAAGTTCCTGTTTTTTTTTCTCCCACAAGAGTATTTGTATCCCTTTTGCTATGGTAAACTCTGCAACAGAAAGCATTGCTTATACCGCTTCCCACCATTTGTTTCAAGCACCTTGGATCGGAAATGTAGAAGTGCAGTATTTGGGAAGGTGGCTGGATGACTTTTTATATTTGGTAAGAACTATTGTAGAGTGATTACATAGGAAAGTGCTGCTTGTTCTTTTATTATCTGGTGACCACATAAGACGTAGTGGTGAAGCCATTACTTTTCATTCAACCCTCATCAGATGCAGCTATGCTAGATCAGCACCCTGAGTATCTTTCCTCACTTAGAATGGAATTCCTACAATGCTGTTTACTTTCCTTTTCCAAGGCATTGCTGTGTTTGCTCCTTAAATCAAGTTTCCAGTCACTTCATGCACTCTAACAGAGGTTACATTAATTCCCCAGGTTCTTGGTGCCATCCCATGGCAAACCTATTTCCAGCGGGTTCTCTCAGCGTCTTCAACAAAACAAGCCAGGCTCATCTCCTATCTTTCTGGACTGGGCTGCTTTGCTTTGGCCATCCCTTCCGTGCTCATTGGGGCTGTTGCTGCCTCCACAGGTAAGCTTGCTGGCATGACAAGGAGCAGGGCTGGGGGGCAACCATTCCAGGAAATTATTTTAACAAATTTATTCACATTGCTAAAACAATTGTGGGCACGTGTAGGAGGCTAAGGAGCTCCATGAACTCTCCAAAGAATTCTTATTCTTCCATATCCACTAATGCAAGGACATGTATTCCAGTAGCAGGACTATTTTTGCTATGGGGAAGTAGTCTCTGGGCCAGAGGAAGATATTTTTCTCATATGCATCTACACTGTAGAATTAAAGCACTTTAGCTATAGAATCATGGGAGTTGTCATTTTATAAAGTCTTTAGCCTTCTCTGCCAAAGATGCATGGTGCCTCACCTAAGCACCAGTCACATAACTCCATAGCTTTGAGCCACAGCGGTTAAAGTGGTGTCAAACTGAAATAATTCTACAGTGCAGATGCACACTTACTTACTTACTTACTTACTTACTTAGGCAATCCCTCGTAGCTCAAGGATGATGGTCTTCCAGACGTGGTGTCCTGGTGGTGGGTTTGTAGGTGGCTGTGGAGCCTTCTTCTTGATCTGCATGATCTCCCGCAGTGAGGACATTGGTTTCCAGATGGAAGTCCCGGTCAGGGTTGGCTTCACGTCCCTTCCTCTTGGACATGTTTCTCCCTTTCGCCCTCCAGCTGTGCCTCTTGTAATTCTGCAGCACTGCTGGTCACAGCTGACCTCCAGTTGAACGCTCAAGGGTCAGGGCTTCCCAGTTCTCTCGGTGTCTATGCCACAGGTTGGCTTTTAAGCCCATCTTTAAATATCTTTTTCTGTCCACCAACATTCAGTTTCCTGTTCTTGAGTTCGGAGTAGAGTAACCGCTTTGGGAGACAGTGATTGGGCATTTGGACAATGCGGCCAGTCTTACACCCTTAGCAACAAGAGGACTGAGAATCTTCAAACAAGGAAAGAAAGTTGGGAAAAGTTGGCCTTGCAACACCATAATCCCCCAACCAGAAAAACCAGTGACCATGAACAAACTATAAATAAAACTCATCACCATCACCATCCTTTTTGGTCACCTTCACTGGGGGGAAATGAAGACCACTCAATCACATATATGGATCACCTAAAATACAGCCACACTTCTTGGCTGATATTTCCCTCTTTTGATGCAGGGAGACCAAAGCGTGATAGAGGAAGCTGTGAGGAGTTTTGGAAGTTTAAATGGTCTTTGGGCCATACAGTTTCCACATGATGACCATAACACAGACATTAAAGATTGAGTCATCAAAACTTTTTTTTACATATGTGTATGTGTGTTTGTGTGTGTGCATGTGTCAGGAGCGACTTGAGAAACTGCAAGTCACTTCCAGTGTGAGAGAATTGGCCATCTGCAAGGACATTGCCCAGGGGATGCCCAGATGTTTTGATGTTTTACCATCCTTGTGGAAGGCTTCTCTCATGTCCCTGCTGGAGCGGACAGAGGGCGCTCATCCATGTTCTCCCCGGATTCGAACCTCTGAACTGTCAGTCTTCAGTCCTGCCGTCACAAGGGTTTAACCCCTTGCGCTACTGGGGAATCCTTACATGTGTGTTGGTTTTATATGAATGTGGCATCATCCCAAAGTCATTCCTCCACATTTGTGGGCTTGCTGCCCTAAATGCATTGGAAAAATATGTTGTAGGTCCTCCAGTGCAATTATATGGTCAGCTCCACCAGATGTTGAATATAGAATTATGCCGATGGATCTACAAATGCCCAAAGAAATCACCCAGTGGGTTTCATGGCTAAGAAGGGATTTGAACCTTTAAGTCTTCAAGTGCCTTTAAATCTTCAGAGCCATAGTCCAATGGTCAAACCACAACAACATACTGGTGGAAGCCAATAGGCAAATAGTTGGAATTCAAACCCTTTTTAATATGTATGTTCCTTCTGTGTTGCCTTTCTCAGACTGGAATCAGACAGATTATGGCCTTCCTGCTCCTAGAGAGAGAGGAGAGTCTGCCCTCATCCTCCCACTAGTTCTCCACTATCTCTGCCCCATGTATGTTTCCATTGGTGGCCTGGGTGCCATTGCAGCTGCCGTCATGTCTTCTGGCGATTCTGCCTTGCTTTCTGCCAGCTCCATTTTTGCACACAACATCTACAGAAAAGTTCTCAGGAAAAAGGTGAGTCTATTCAGTGTCTATATCTCAAACAATGAAGGTACATGTGTGTGTCACTAAAAAGGATGTAGGATAGTGGATTGATTGACCCTATGGACCTGCCCTATCAGCTTCATTGGACACCAGCTGACACTGAGTGGAAGAAAGGTCTTTGCCTCATTGAAGTCTTCCAAAACAGTTCTACACACAAGACTTAAGAGTTAGCCTCTTGTGTGCTCTCTATAGATAACACATCTAGTTTGACCCTTATAGAAAAGGCAAAGAGTTGTGTTGGAAATGGAGGAATCACAACAATGCTTTCACTTGAGAACTATGTACCTGTTGTTGTTTTTG